ACGACAGCAACAACAACAACAGCAGCAACAGCAACAGCAACAGCAACAGCAACAGCAACAGCAACAGCAACAACAACAACAACACCACCAACAACAACAACAACGACGACGACGACGACAGCATCAGCATCAACAACACCAGCAGTAGCAGCAGCAGCAGCAACAACAACAACCACGCCGCCGCCGCCGCCATCGCCACCACCACCACCACCACCACCACCAACAACAACAACAACAACAACAACACCAACAACAACAAAGCAAGATCCCATTAACTGACCCTGTGTTTCTGCTATCATATCCTGGCCCCTGGCTTGTGACTTTGGCCCCTTGGGGCCTTTAGGGCGTTTATGGCATCGGGCTGCCAGGTGCAGCAGCTGGCATGTTTTAGGGTTTAGGGTCTAGGGTTTATGACTTAGCCTTTAGGGTTTGTGTTTTTCGGAGGGAAAATGAGCAGCTTAAACTAAGACCATAAGCTGTGGGTAGCTTGTAGTTGTGACGGAACCCCCAACAAGTTGAAGCACCAAGCAGAAAAGACACCTCAAGCCCCATACCCTTTAAACTTCTAGCCCTTATAAAGCTCCAACACCTTAACCCCCAAACCGTATAGCCCAGGTACCGGCGCGGCCGGTTTTACCGAAGACAGCTCGCACCTCCTCGATGTGCTCAAAGTGTCCAGGGCCCCAGGTGTCGACTGTTTCTGGAGATCTTCAGCCTTTATAGCCTATAGCCAAGTCTCCTCAAGCTTTGACATTGTCCATTGGCATGCAAGTCTTCCACACTGACTTCGTTCTGTATACCGTGGGTATGTTTGGGGGGTAGTGCAGCAATGGCAGTTTTAGTGGTAGCCGTGAATATTGTAGAACTTAGATAACAAATCACAGGAATCACCACAACAACACCACACCAAAAACAATTAGTTTTACCGCCCCAGCGTTGACGAAGCAGCAGCTCCTACTTTGAAGGGCATGTGCGTGCGTGCGCTGGCTGACAGGAGCGTTTGTCCTAAACCCTAAACCCTAAACCCTAGACCCTAAACACCTAAATCCTAAACCCCTAAACCCCTGGGAGATCGAACCTTACCCTCCAGCCAAGGTGTCGCTTGCTACGGCTCGCGCGCATGGCGAGGAGTGTTTTGTTGATTGGTCCGTTGGCATGGCCCGAGTGTTTTATACTAAGATGACCAGGCCAAGATCCAAGACCCTCAACCCCTAAACCCTAAGACAGACTTCGCTGTGTCGATCTACATGGTTGGTGTTCTCACACGAGCTTGGAAGGAAATTTTGCATGAGGCGCCCCAGCTTTTGACCCTAAGCCCGAGACCAGTTCATCTCTCTTCGGTTTGGCTTCTCTTTCGCACCTTGAAGACCCAAACATATGGGAGTTACCGAAAATTAGGGGTACCTTATTTGGGTGTCCTTATAATAAGGATCCTACTATTTAGGGTACTATGTTAGGGTCCCCTATTTTCGGAAAGCCCCATATGAGTAGTTACCCTTAGCACTAACCCTACACCTGCTCTCAACAGAAGGCTCGCACGAGCCCCAATAAGCCCCGCATCCCGAAACCATGAACTCCCAAAATGCAAACCCTAGGGCCAAAAAGTGGGGTTGGAACCCTAAAGGAGCCACGGTTTAGGGTCTAGGACTTCAAAATCCCCAACCCTAAACCCAGAACCCTCAATAGTAACTCTTATGGAGCCTGTACAAAGGTGCCTATGAAACTCCTGTAGATCCATTGCAGTCGTTGCAGCAACCCTTCTGAATCCCTACCACCCAAAACCCAAAACCCTGGACCAAAAGCCCGCAAATCCTAACCCTAAAACCCTAAGTCCCAAAGCCGAAGCCCTACACCCTAAAGCCCTACACCCCAAACTCAAAACGCTAACACCCTAAAGCCCTAAACCCCAAAACAACGAATGTCTGTATCCCTAAAACCCCAAATTCCACTATCCTAAATGCGAAGAAATCCTGAAACCCTGAAATTCCCAAACCCAAAACCCGCAAACCCAACGACGCTAAACCTTAAAACCCCAAACGCCCAAGCCCAACATCTTAAAACCCCAAAAACACTACACCTCAAGCCCCACAACCCAACATCACAAAACATCAAACAAAACCGCTACTAATATTCATCCACAGGGCTCCTTGTACAAATATACAAAACATGAACCCCCAAAACCCCGTTCGAGTTATGAAGCCTACATTACCTCCTACCTATAGTCTCCATTGTAGTTCCTTGTTGGGGTTACCTTATAGGGCCCTAAGTATAGAATCGGTTAAACCAAACAAAGGAACTACAATGGAGACTATAGGTTAACCCTAAACCCTAAACCCTAAACCCTAAACCCTAAACCCTAAACCCTAAACCCTAAACCCTAAACCCTAAAACCCTAAACCCTAAACCCTAAAACCCTAAACCCCAAACCGTAAAACCCGTAAACCCTAAAACCCCTAAACCGCCCAACACCTGGAGATCCCGGCCCTGAGCGAGGATGCTACGGTCGATCTCAGAGTTGATGATCTTGATCAAGGAAGGGCTTTCAGGGCTTAGGGGTTTAGGGTTTAGGGTTTAGGAAGGGTTTTAGGGTTTAGGAAGGGTTAGGGTTTAGGGTTTAGGAAGGGTTTCAGGGCTTTGGGGTTTGGGGTTTAGGGTTTAGGAAGGGTTTCAGGGCTTTGGGGTTTAGGGCTTAGGGTTTAGGAACGGCTTAGTAGGCTTAGTGCAAGCCTTAAGCCGTAGGATGCTTGCCAGATGGTTCCCCAAAACGGACCAATGAGCCCCTTATGGCGGATACCCTAGACTGCCACCAGGGTTTAGGGTTTAGGGCTTTGGGTTTAGGGTTTAGGGTTTAGGGTTTAGGGTTTAGGTATTTGGGTTTAGGGTTTCCGAAGACTTGCAAAATCACTGAAGCCAAAACCTGAACCGGTTTGGGGTTCATGTTAGTGTTCAGGAACGACCGTCACAGAGATATTTCCTCCTGCCCGTCCAGTAGAAGCATACTTGCCTGTACTGTATGTTGCTGACCCTCTGTTTACCTGTACAGATGCCCATTATCTAGGCAACTTGGCTCAGACTTGTGGCCTAGAGAACCCATGAAAATCCGAAATCGCAAATTATGTACCTGCGAAATGCATAAGTTGTTTTTTTTCCAAATGGTTTTTTGGCTTCTGCAGACTCAACTCGACACCTCTCAGAACCCAACGCCCTGAATCCTTCAGAATCCTGAACATAGACATTAACAGACCCCTAAAACTGTCACCTCTAGAAACCTGGAAGCGCTAAGCCGTAAACGCCTAAACCCTCAATGAATGCCCTAACACCCTAGACCCTGCAAGCCCCAAATCGTGAACCTAAACCCTAAACCCTAAAGCTCGGAATGCCAGGGAATGGCTGCTGCTGGACGATCAGTCTTCTTCGTCATGTGCCTTCTGGCAGGGGAGCTCGGGTTAGGGGTTTAATCTTCAGGGGTTTGGGTTTGGGGTTTAGTTTTGTTTTTAGGGTTTTGGGTTTGGGGTTAAGGGTTTCAGGCTTTCGGGCTGGGTTTTCTTAGGCTGAGGGAATTTTCAGGGTTTCGGGTTGGGTTCAAGCGCAGGGTAGGGTAGGGTAGGGTGGGGGGGGG